GGGGGGGGGGGGGGTGCAGGGAGTGGCTTCTCCCCTTCCAAAGAAAATGGCAGCTGCATTTGAAGGGCCTGATCCTGTTGGGGTGCTAGGCCTGTTCTGAGCGCACCTACCAGTTCAAGACCCTCGGGGAGAGAGGGGATGCCTGTCTGTTCTGGGCACGTACCAGCAGCTCCAGCTGCCTGGGAAGCTGTGCAGTCGAGTCCTGCGGTATTGATGGGGGATGCAGGAGCAGCTGAGGAGGGTTCTTGGGATCCTGTCTTGGAAGTTAGGAGCCTCGATTCCTCCAAGTCCTTCTTATTTTCTGTGGTGAAAGAGATAACAGATGGGTTTTGGAGACAGCTGCACCTCTGCTTTGAGAGCAGGACATATGGCTCAGAAGGGAGAGTAAGGGGGTGAAGAGCCTCCGCTGCGTGCTAGGGAATACAGACGAGTGGGGAGTGCAGTTTTCTTTTATGCAGGTATTGACTGGGACTGGGAATGGTTGGGTTGGGTTTGGGTGGGATGGGATGGGATGGGAGGGAAATGCTTTCCTTGGGCAGAGGCAGGGGAGTGGAAGAGGTGTATTGACTGCCTTCAAATGTTTTTCTTCTCCAAGTAGGGTGGGCTGGTTGTTCTTATGTTAATGTTTTATTCTGTTTCTGTTGTTCTTCGCCCCTCATATTGTTAGCCACTCTGGCCTTTTTGAGACAGGTAGCATATAAACCTAGCAAATAAAGAAATGGCTGCAGAGGGAGTCTGAGCAGCTAGGGCAGAGAGGGGCTGTGAGGGCAGGATTATCCCATCCCAGATGGGAAGCAACTAGGCAAGCAGGCAGGGGCAAGTGAATTGTAGTGAAAGGAGTCCCTGGAGTGCAGCTATGCTGCAGGTTCAGGCTGGGCAGATGCACTGAGGCAGCCCAGCACTAACGGACGTGAGGAGCACATGTGAACTCTTTGGGGCGGGGGGCTGGAGAAGTGACCCAAAGGGTCGAGAAATAGCAGTAAGTAAAACATGAATAAAATGCAAGGTGAATTCAAAGGAGAGAAGGTAATCCACAAGCCGGTGGTGTGGATTTTGCCTGGATCCCTGCGCAGAGCCTGGTCCCTGCTCATGAAGCGGTGTGGCTGCACAGATTAGGTGCTGTGACAGGTCCTGATGCAGCAAGAGACTGTTGATAAGAGCCTCAAATCTACAGGACACTTCTTCTGGTGCACAAAACAAGGCAGATGTACCCTGATAACATCGGGTCAGCCCTACACCTGTGCACAAAACAGGGAGGGAAGCGTGCAGTGTATGTTCCACTGGAAACCTCTCGGTGCCTGCCCTCAAACCCCAGAGCAGATGTGGTGGTGCAAACCGAGGAGCAATGAGGGGCACAGGAACTAAAGAGCTGACAAAAGCCCATTGGGACACGAAGCGGAGAGCAGACCCCTGGGAGTGCAGGGCTGCGGTGAGACACCCCAGCTTCCCTGCAGACCATGGCAAGCCCTTGCCTCACTAGTATTCACATCACCGAAAGAGCGAAGGAGAAGGGGCCGTTGTCCCACCCTACCCTCCTGCACTGTCCAGATATGAACAGGATACAGGAAATGTCCCTGGACCTTGTGTGTAGTAGAAAGTTTCACACCTTCGCTTCAGGGCTCCAGGTCTGTGAGCCACTCCGTTTCAACTTGTGGTTGAGGCCAGCTTGTGACGTGCTACGGTGGAGTAGCTGTGACAGTGACAGCCATGGAAGCATCCCAGTTTGCACTGGGAGGACTGCGATGGGAACACAAGCCGTCTGCCTTCGTCGCGGTACATCAGCTGCGGTGCACAGGGCACCGTGTGTGCATGCCCGACGTACGTTTACCAGAACGACTGCTCTGCTCCCGACTCAGCCAAGGACAAAAGACACACAGGAGCCAGAGGAAATGCATCAAGGACACCCTCAAGGTGAACATAAAGAAGTGGGGCATTGACACCACAAATTGGGAAAAACCAGCCTGGGACAGGGCTACATGGTGACATCTTGTGAGAGAAGACACATCTTACTTCGAGGAAAACAGTCTCTCCCTGGAGGCAGGAAAATGACAGAAACGGAAGGAAAGGAAACAAGACCGACAAATCTGCAGTTCAGTCCTCCCTTTCGCCACCACCTGTGGCGTCTGCCGGAGAGTCTGCGGCTCTAGGATCGCCCGCCTTAGCCATCCACGGACTCATCTACAACCCTTTACTTGACCCATGGGAGTGATCACCCTCGCCCATGAGGGATTGCCGCCCCCAATGACTTTTGCTCAGCTGAGGATTGCATCAGAGGATGGAATTTTTAAGCGGTGCCTGTTTGAAACCACCAGTCATTTTGACATGAGGAATTATGCAATATTAATGTCAGCCTTCCTGCAAAGGTCGAGCAGGTACATGTGGGCTGAGACGTGATCTGCCCAGCCACTGTGACTGATACGGGATTACGCTTGTTCTGGGTCCACTACTTGGAAGCTGGTTTCCAGTGCAGAAGAAACAATGGCAACCAGGAGCGATGACTCATCTCTGCTCCAAACACAGGATCATCTTTCCCAAGAGAGCGGATGGCTTAGTGAGCTGCGTTGCAGCTGTGTCCTGGCTGGTGCATGTTGAATTGAGTGCAATACTGTTGGTTGCGTCAGTGATTTCTCCTGCTCCCCCAAAGGCCAGGTACCACCTTCTGTCTCTCGAGTGTGGGGATCCTCAGGTACAGCTTGGAAGCTGACCTCAAGTTTTGGTTAAAAACACCCCCCAAACCACCCGCTTACAAAACGGCAATGAACATCCAAAACTGAAAGCTTAAGGCACCAGGAATCCTATTTCAAAAGTTTCATCCAACGGTGGATTTTCCCCTCATTCTTTACTTCAGAATTTGAAACCTAAATATAACAGCTCTGACATAGGCTGCGATTCCCTGAAAGTGGGGAGGAGAGGGCCCAGGGGATCATGGAGAAGAGTAGAGCCAGTCTCATAATGAGGGGTGGGCGAGTGGTGCGCTGGCCCCGGGCTCTGATGTAGGGGGCACCCGAATGGCAGCCCGCGAGACGAGTCTGTCCTGAGGCAGCACCAGCCCCGTGCCACCACAGAGGCATCAGCTGGATGTGGGGACGTTGCAGCAGCTGGGGGCTGGCGGACTGCGCTGCCGCAGCACGGCCAGAACAGGCAGGACTGCCGCATGCTGCACGCCTCCCTCCAGTGGTTTTGCCCAGGGTGTAAAACTTGCTTGGTATGCCTGAGTGGGGCTATCTGCTCTCCTCATTCAAGATGGAGTACGGCTTTAGCTTTATATTTCATAGAATCAGGCAGTGAGGGCTGGAAGGGACCTCAGGAGGTCACATCTAGTCCAACCCCCTGCTCCAAGCAGGACCAGCCCCAACTACATCGTCCCAGCCAGGGCTTTGTCAAGCTGGGCCTTAAAAACCTTACTGTCCTGTCCTATTTCTTACTATCCTTCCATGCGAGCCGGGTGTCTGCAAGCTGTTTCCGCTACCCACCGCTGCATCTCCAGTATCCCCATTCCTCTGCTGTGTTAAGTGCAGATGGCTGTTATCATGTGCAGTCATTTGACAGTTTTACATTTCTGCCCTCAGGTAGCATTGGACCAGTGATCCTCAGCCTCCAGCCTCCAGCCCATGGGCTGAATTTGGCCCATGGGGCCGTGTCATCCAGCAATTAATGTTGCTGCTGCTCCCCTGCTGCCAAATTTCTGGACCAGTGGGGAGCCCCATGAACTGAATGACATGGCCGCATGTACTGGATCAGTCCAGCGCATGGGGTTGCTCTGTGGCTGGACCACACCCAGGGACACACCTTGTTCACCAACCCCATGCTAGATCAGGCCTGTGGACCAACCCCGCCCGCGGGATCTGCCCTGCAGACCAACCCCATGCCACTCATCCAGGCCTCAGGACCAAGAGGTTGAGCATCACTAGACTATTTGCTCACAGAAGCAGCCAATCAGAACTTGCCTTGTGGCACAGTCGTCTTCATTGCTTCTGAAAAAGATACAAGGATATTTTAAGTATAATGGCGAGGAAGATTCAGAGTGACACTGTAAGGTGTACTGTGGGAATAATTAACCATTTACTAATTATTCCAGACCATCTGGCTCTGACCCTCTTGAACACACATCCAGAGAGTACAGGTACCAGAGCAATTAAGGATCACCATGTGTGCAAGCAATGATAATGCTAGCGCTCGTACTGCTTTTTACACCTTCCAAAAGTAGGGCAAACAAATGATAGACCCCTCAGTCCCTCTCAGAGGTGGCCAGTGTCATGACATCATGACTAAGCCAAAGAGATGGTGGTTAAAATTCCCAAAGGCTGAATTCCTGCCGTGCTTTTGCCAGTGCCCATCTGTACCAGGGGACCCCCTGGCACGCACATTTCCAAATGCACCTCCTTTACCTGAGGCTGGCTCACCCCAGTCCTATCTGAGCAGGGCTCTCTTCCCTTTGTCTGCTGGGCAGGGCGAGAACGGTGCCAGAGAGCTGGAAAGCATGCAGTCGGATCGCATGAAGGTGCTGCAGCTCAATGTGGGCAGTGACCAGGAGGTGGCTCAAGCCGTTGAGTTTGTGAAGAAGAAACTGAAGGAGCCTGAGAAAGGTAATGAGGAGAGGGCTACACACAGGGGACCTCTGTGCATTAGGCTACCTGGGTTTTTAATTCACTACCAAAATTCTTTACTAAGGAGGAGTGAAGAGCAGTGCTATACAGCAGGCGGTCTCAAGTTTGCATCTCCTACAGCACAACTCAAAGCCAAAAATAGGAAATACTTTTCATGCAACACACAGAAGGCCTGTCCGCTGCCCCTATCAGGTGCCAGCCTTCAGAGACATGGTGCTTGTACTTTAACGCTATGTAGTAGTTAAGTGCCACTAAGCACCAAAGGCCTCGCTCCTTGGATATGTTGTATGGCAGCTCTGGGGTCTGGACAATGGGGAATACCTGCCTGCAGTGTGAGGTGCCTGGCCAGACAGGATGAGACCAGGGGTGGATCCAGTGGGGTGCAGTGGTGCAGCTGCACACCCCTTTGATTCCTGCTCCATCCAAACTTTAAAACCAACTCCCTGGGAGAGAGAGGCATTTCTATTCTCTCAGAAGTGCTGAGAGAGTCGGTGGACTTCATTGCTCATTATAATAATCTACACAATTCCTTCTAAACTCTTAATTCCGCAGATGTTAGTGACCCTTTCTCCTTTTTAATGGTCTTGATAGTCTGCCAATCAAGCTAACCTTTCTTCTGCAATTCTGCTGTCTGTGAACTGCTCCTGGTAATGGAGCTCCTATTTCACAGCCCTGCAGATTGTTTTTAACTCTAGCCAAAAACAGTAGCTTAGGTGTAGAAATAACTTTCTGTGAAGCATTGCATTCACTGTCATGATGCTCAAGAAGGCTAGATCTTGTTTTATGAACCTGAAAAAGAGATGTCCATTTAATTCTAATGACTGCAGGACTAATGAAACTACATTTTCTGATCATTTTTCTTAGTTCATTCTGTTTTTTATGCATAATATATGATATAGCACATGAATGCACATGCCAATGCATGTATATTTGTTTTTGCTCTCATCATAAACTAAGTAGTGTAGTCCTAGGCCACTAGCTTATTAGTAAAGCTTCTAGTTTCTTTTAAACATGATAAACCTGTGTGTTGTGCTATATATGATGATGCATCACACCATCTGCACTCCCCTTCTCAAAATCCTATATCTGCCCTTAGTCCTGGAGTAAGGACTTCACTAGAAGCAGCACCCATGCTCTAATGCTGCCTCTGGTACTGCCAGAGAGGGAGTGAGTGTGAAAGTCTGGAGGAGCAAGCCCCTCACTTCTCTCTTCCACATAGCTCCATGACAGAGACATTTAGCTGGAGCCTCTCTGCCATCTTGCAAGCAGCTAATTGTGCTCAGGTACGGGGAGTCTGATCCCACCTAATTCATGTTTTAGTAAGAGCCCTCAGTTGCAAGCATATATAATGGTATGTGGCTGACTAGCAACAGAATCTGATTAGGGATTAACTCGTTTTTCATGTTCTTCAGCCTGCTAAACCTATTATACAAAGGCTGGTTACTGGGAGACCTGGGAACCAGGTACACCTCAGCCAGAGTTCGCTGTGGTCTGGGGTAGGTCAATCATTGTCAAATGCACTCAGTGCAACTCTCAGCACAGTTCACTCTCTTCTGTGAAGATTAATTCAAGATTACCTGATTTAATCTGTGTTTCATTTCCCACTATTACTTATTACCTGGCTATGGTGGTAGGCCCTCAGGATCCTACCTCTTTGTGTTTCAGCACCTCTTTGTGCTGGATGTTGCACAGACACACATTTAAACACTATCTCGGCCCCACAGAATAGTCTTGTTTAGGATAGCAATTAACAGGTGTCTGTGTAATTCAAGGACCAGGTGTGGAAACAGCCTGGGTGGCAGAAATAGAGACATGGGATGGCCTGGATGTACAGGTTTCAGTTTGGGGGGGTGCAGGGTGGGGGGTGTTATATAAACACTGGACTAAATGGGCCTCAGTAGCTGAGCCAGCAGGCTGTCTGCCAAGCCATTGTCCTCATGTAGCTGTTGGGGCCATCACAGCAAAGCTGGAATTTCAGAGGCCATTGACATGAAGGAAGACAGGGCAGTGGCCATGTGAATGGGACCAGGGAGAGCTGTCCCAGCAAAGAAGCACCTTCCACGCTGCGTCAGGAAGTCAGTCGGCAGGAGCCTGCCACGGCTGATCTGTGATGAAACAACACACCCAGGTCTGAGCCATCGAGGTAATGAAGCTGTGTAGAGGGCAATGCAGCCATAGGAAAGATGAGAAGAGGTGTTTCCAGCAGGGCTAGGAAGAGTTGTACCCCTGCGGTTGCATGAGGCACTGGTGAGACCTTACCTGGATTACTGTAGACTGTGCTGGGCGCTCGGGTTTTAAAATGGATTTAAATGGCAGCGGACAGGAGCTAGTAGGACAATACAAGTACAAGCAGACAGAATAGCCCTAAACCCTACAGTGCCGCATCCTTGTCTTCCTTATTTGTTCAGAAAATTTTGAATTGGAAAATTTTCCAATGCCCTAAATACAGCATGATCTGATTTAGCATGTTTATTAGACTTACATTTAGTGAACAAAATTAAAAAAGTGCCCCCATGTAAATTTGATGTCCCAATAGCCACAAGTATTTGAACTGAAATATTTGATTAGGAAAAAAATTAAAGACAGCACACTTAATGCAGTTTAAATGTTATATTCAAACAAATTCAAAGCTTTATGTGGAAAGAAATTATTTTTATTGGAATACTTGTAAAAATGTAAAGACAATACACGATAGCATGTACTTCCCTTACGTTGTTCATTTAAATTTAAGAAAAAAACCAAGGGCACTGAAAGCTGTTGCCACACTGGCTGTAGCACACCCAAGGATCGGGATCTGCTCGTGATCCGCCATGCTTTGGTTTGGATTTGACCTGCGCAGCCAGTTCGGTGAATTCATAACTCGCATTTTGGTTTGGGCTCTTATGTGCATGTATTCACCCTCCTGTTTACAACACAGATGTGCTGTCTCGCACACTTCCTAGGGAGCATCACCTGAAAAACATTCATTACAACTTTGAAGCTGCCAAGCTTGCCTCATGTTGTATTGGCATCCATTCATTGTTACTAATGAATTTTATGAAACAATGAATTTTTAGAAATGCAAAATTTCCTACAGAAACATAAAGCGCTGGGAAATGTCCAGCCCCACATCTCTGCTTCCGGTCCAAGGGCCCCGTCCAGGAACGAGTGGGTGAGCCCCTCCAGGCAGCACCCGCCATGGTGCCCGCTTGCCTCTGTCATTTCTGGTGTTGGCCCCACCTGTGCCCCCCTGCAGCCCTGGGCATCCTCGCCACCTTGGGGGGGGCCCGTGGCCCATCGCAGCCCGCCCTGGCCCTGGTGCAGCTGCCATCTTGTCTTGCCAAACCCTGAGGGAGTGCTCGGCGGCCATCTTTAGTAAGGGCAGCCTGGCCTCATGCAGACAGCTGTGGCCAGAGACGACGACTTTTATTTTTGCGGGGGGGGGGGACATTAAGATGACGGCCATGTGGAAAGTTTTACACATTTGAGGTGACGGCCCTCTTCCCGAGCAGGGCAGGGCCCTCAGCCCCCACATACTCAGCACCTGTGCGTGGGGAGATGGTGGCCATCTTGTTGGCTTCAGCCCCATGGACAGCAAGGGGAGATGACCATTTCGAGTGAGGGAAGATTGGTGGGTGGATGCCCCTTGTCACGTGCCAGAACAACACGCATTGCAATAAAAACATGGAGGGGGATGTTGTAGGCACCAGCACGAGTGGGCAAGCAGGGGTGCCCAGGGCCGGCGCTGTCTCCATGGCTGACGCCCGGCTGTCGTGATGGTGCCCAGGGCTGATGGGCAGGAGCGTCACAGACTTGTTCTTCGTTGGCAGGCCTCTGGGGCGTGGTGAACAACGCGGGCGTGACGACTTTTGGGGACGTGGAGTTCACCCGCCTTGACAAGTACAGAGAGGTGGTGGACATCAACCTCTGGGGCACGGTCAGGGTGACCCAGGCTTTTCTGCCGCTCATCCGCAGAGCCCGAGGTATGGGCGGCCCGGAGCATGGCAGAGGCAGGGTTGGGGGGCGCTGCGGGGCAGTGGGCAGGATGGCGCATGTGGCACGGGCTCTGCTGCAGTGGCGCTGGGGCCACCCCAGCAAAACCACTGCAGGACCGTGTGCCACACTCCCTCCACACGCCGTGGGAGAAGTCTGGAGATGCAGCCCCTGGCAGGGCTCCCGGCAGAAGTAGTTAACAAGGGGTCCATCACGGCACCTAGACGAAGGACCCCCGTGGATCGTTGGGCACTGGGACAGGCTGCCTAGCCTGGCTGTCGGGTCTCTGTCCCTGGATGTTTTCAAGAGCGGGTTGGACAGACATTAGGTGGACGGGGTAGTCCGAAATGACCCTGCCTGGAGCAGGGGCTGGCCGAGATGACCGTGCGAGATCCCTTCAGGCCCTGCGTCCCCGTGGTCCTAGACAAGGAGGATGGGAAGGGACCTTGCAGAGACGGCATAGCGCTCTTAGCTACACAACGCATGCAGGTGTTGGGAGGGAGGGCTCGAGGGCGGCTGTTGCAGGAGCACAGAAAAGAAAGCGTGCGGCTCTGTTGCAAGATTTCAAGCCCTGGCATCTTGGCTTACTCTGTGGCCATATACAACTCCTTATTACTGAAGCAGGCGCCAAGATTTCAGTGCCTGTTTAGAGAAGGCAGTTGAACCCATAGCAGCAGGCACCCCACCAGGGAAGGGGGCAGATGCCTGTTCCTGGCCCATTTCATGATGAAAAAAGTAGCCACAGGTTCAGGATGCCTCCCTTTTATTGCAACTGAGCAGGGACGTATTATAGCATTTCCCCCCAGTTTGACAGGAGACTTCCAGCCTGCTTGTGTACTTGCACAGTCCTGGACATGCTTGTGGACAGAGCCAGGCAGGACCTTCCCCTCCCTGGTACTGTGTAGGGAGGGCAAGAAGGCTCACAACAGAGTTCATACTTGGATGTGCTCAATGCACCTGAACCAGCCCTGCCTGAGCCTTTGGGAAAAGCAAAGGGGGTCTCTTCTACACTTTTCTTTAGCTTTTTATATAGTATTTTTAAAGTTTATTTTAGTGAACTCCTCTTGGTAACCCTGAGGTCAATATGAGCCATTGCCCAGAAAGGAGAATTGGAGGCATGTTGAGGGCTCTGGAGCAGACTGGCCTCCCCATTCCTAAGAAATCCCCAGCGGTTTGCCCACAACAAACGTGGCTGAGTCTGCTTCTGAACCCCTCTGTCCATTTGTGCCTGATGCCCAGGTGTGAAACACGGTACGACTAAACGAGGAACTGGGGAGGTGGAAAGGGCTGTCTCCGAGGTGCAGGACAGAAATTTGGGGAAAATTAAGATAAGGGATGGGGTTGCCCATGCCTGTTGTGGGCATAGACATGGGGAGCACAGAGGACCGAATTCCCACGGGCAGTCGCAGCCCAGGACAGGGCGGACAGCATGTCTCTTGACACGAGGATCAGTGTTATCCTGTCTCTAGAGCAGCTCAAAGCTCAGTATGTCTGCTCTGGGGGACGTTTCTGAAAAGTTTTATTTCTGGCTCAGAATGAAAATGAGAGTTTTTGAGTTTTTCCATGGAAATGAAATTCTGAACATTACTAATGAAACAAAAACCACATGCTGTTTGTTTGGTCCATTCTCCAAAGAGCACCCGGCTGCTTGGAGCCTGGGGTCTCCTTGGGGAGCTGTCAGGGACTCGGGCAGACGCCAGAGTCCAGGCAGTCGGGGCATCTCCAGGAGTCGCACACAAGGAAGAGCCTCGTAGCCTGAGAGCGAGCCCCCTCTCAAGCTGGGACTCCCGTGGCTTCTGGGCTCCCTGCTACAGGCTGCCCCCTGCTAAAGCTGGGGATTCCCGCTCTGGGGGTCCAGGACGCCGGGCAGCCTGGGGTTCCCAGAGTACCGGGCAGTCAGCATGGGGAAACGGCCCTGGGACTGGGGACCCTGCAAGTCTCAGGGCCCAGCAGCTTGCCCTCAGAGCTGGCAAGCAGCTAGGCAGGCCAGGTACCTCCAGCACAGTGCCTGTGTTTTGCCAGACCTCCTTGACAGCAAACGGTTCCTCTGGAGCATTTCCGCTTTGCCAAACCAGCCCTTTCTGACACATGCAAATAACTGGGAGGTCTGGGCAGCCGTGCCTGCCGCCGGGCCATCTGTGTGTCCTTCCCACCTGGCCGCAGGACATCTCCTTTCCCTTCCTCTGCCCGCTGCAGGCCGTGTGGTGAATGTGTCAAGCATGTACGGGCGGATCAGTAGCCCGTCTCGCTCCTGCTACTGCGTTTCCAAGTTTGGGGTGTCCGCCTTCTCCGACTGCCTCCGGCAAGAGATGTACCGCTGGGGTGTCCGAGTCATCCTCATCGAGCCTGGGAACTTCGTGGCTGCTACCGGCATCCTGACCTGGGACGGCGTGGAAGCCCGGGGAGAGGAGCTGTGGTGTGGGGCCAGCAAGACCGTTCAGGAGGACTATGGGAAGGCCTACATCACTCACCAGATAACCCAGATGAAGTCCTTTGTGGGCAGTGGCCTGAAGGACATGTCTCTTGTCCTAAACGCCATCACGGATGCTCTCGTTTCAAAGCGCCCTTACAACCGTTACAATCCCATGTCGGCCTATTGGTGGGTAAAGCTACACATCATGGTGCACCTTCCCACTGCCATTGCTGACTGGCTGTACGTCCACTGACCCGCGCTCGCAGCAGGCCTGAAAGCATCTCCTCGTTGTGTTTATTCAGATCCCAGAGCTGAGCAGCGATAGCTAAAGACAGGCCCCTGAAACCAGGGTCCAGCCCCCTCCCTCTGCCCGGCGCTGCTGCAGAGCCTGAGCCCGTATCCATATCCGTGTGGCGGCAGGCTGACAAAAGCCTGGCTCTGGATCCCCCCTGCTCCTTGCCCTGTCTTGCTCCCTGCTGCCCCGAGCAGCGTTTGAAGGTATTTTCCTTTTGGCTGTGGAGGAGATAGGGGAAGGCTGATGCATTGGGCCAAGCCTCTCCCTGGTGTAATTAGGTTGTGAAGCTCTGCCAGGGATGAATTTGGCTCCTAATGGGATCTTGTTTTTCCCTTTCCCGGGAGAGCTGGTGGTGGCAGAGCCGTGCTGTTGCCAGGAGACATTCAAAGAGAGCAGCTAAAACGGGAAACAAAGGCAGCGTTTTTTGAGAGCCCAGAAATGGGTCAGTGCCAGTTCCCAGCCTTCCCGCGCGCTCACGGCTCTGCAGCCGCCCGCTCTCCTGGTGGACGCAGCAGCACTAACTGACCCAGGGCCGAGCCCGGGAGGAGGTGGCTGGCCCTGCAGGCGCAGCCCGAGTGCACAGCAGCTCTGCTTTCCTCTCACCGGCCAGGGCTGGCTCAGAGGGACGTCTTTTCCTGCCTTGCTCTTAATGGCTTGCAGCCCACCTCCTGCAGCCCGAATGGTGCCCTTTACCAGGCAGACTTGAACAAGCTGAAGACAAACAGCTGCTTGGCTCCCATGCCCGCTACAACAGCGCTGGCACACCATGCTGGCGCTGTGCTCGGGCACGGGTGCAGTCCAGCCTGTTCCCTGCCCATGACCTCCAGGGACAGCAGTCATCCAACCGGGAATCCTCCCCCAAAACCACTGCCCAGGGCACAGGCAGGGAGCTTGTCATATCTGGGCTCTTGAGATGTGGTGCACGGCTCATTTGATGGCCCTGGCAGGGATCCCCCCGGGAGGCTGTGCTGGGCCAGGCTGCTGTGCAGCGTTTGGTTGCTACCAGGAGGTTCAGAGGCCATCCATACAGCCCAGCCCAGATGGGTAGAGCTGCCTTAGGGCTCACTGAATGGGCTGGGCTGCTGCGCTGAGACGGTGAAGGGGCTGCTTGTTCAGGGGTCAAGGCAGGGAGATCACATGGCACAAAAACTGCCTTAAATTTGTGCATTGCTGCCCTGGAGATTAGGTTGGCTAGGGATGTCTCAGGGCCTGCTGTTGCTGGGGGCTAAACGACATGAAGGGCTGTGGCCAGAGCCTCTCTGCTGGTTCTTTTGGATTCACAAGGGTCCTGGACAGAAGCCAGGGGCCTCTTGCTGTTACTGCTTGATCCGGACCTCCAGTGAGCATCTCTGGCCACACGTGCCAAGGCCCTGCTGCTGTCACGGACCGAGCTCAGCCTGGCAGAGAGGGGATGTGCTGGTGGGTCTCAGTCCAGGTCCTGGTCAAACAGTGTCCCAAAACAAATAGCCCTGCATTCCTGGCATGAACTGGCCCTCTTGTTGGACAGGGAGCCGCATTCGTCCTTCCTGAATTAGCCTCTCAGCTGGGCTTACCCACCTGTATGTCCTGAGCACTATTGCTGCGTAACACTGCCCCTGCTTGCAGAGTCTGAATACAAAGCTCTGGGTGGATGCTTTCAGTGACGCTCTTTGTTTCTTCTTGTATTAATATTTCACAATGAAATTACAAATTAATATAACACCCTCCCCTCAGAAACCTTCCTAATAATGCTGTGCAGTTGATGGGAGTACACAATGTGTACTTGGGTCTCCTGTCCAAATCAGGCAGGTTTACTTTTTAACTAGTAGTGGACTTCTCAGTATCTCACTGCACATGCCTTTTTCCAAGGAGAGCTGCCAGGAAGACAGTAGGGAGGGTCCTGGCACTGCTGGTCAGGCCGGGTTGATAGTCCGCTGGCAGCACAGGTGGGCACGTCTCCCTTTCTGGGCTAAACTTCGTTCCATGCCAGGCCAAGGTGAGATAAAAGTTAACTGCAAGCCAGTCTGCCCTTGCTGCTGCCTGTGCCCTTGTGTGCCAGGAGCAGCTGGGAAACCTGGTCAGTATTTTGTACGCCTTGGCTCTACCTGTGGGTGGGCTCTGGATGGAGCTGGCCTCCTGTCTGATGTCGGGTAATGCTTCCAGCAGAAAAGGAGTCTTCACACGGAGATTACGTGATGATGGCATGTGTCATAGCAGGCCAGGAAGTGCTGGGCTGTGCAGCTGTTTTCCTGCTGCTCGGCACAAGTGCAGGACGCCTGTTGTTGTGAAAGACAAGAGTCCTTGTATTAAACAGCAGCACCCCTGGGCCACCCTGTGACACCATCCTGAGTATGATTCTTGTCACCTGCACTTGGGAAGTCTGGGAATATGAAGCACCTCCTGATTTACACAGAAGAGCAAATAAACACTGAGATTTGCAGAGAGCCTGTCTGCGGTTCCAGTGCTTGCCTCTCAAATGGTTTCTTTCTCTTTCTGGGCCTGATCCCGATCATTAGACTGAAGGGGCTTGGGAGGGAAGGGTGCTGAGAAGGGCTCAGGCTGTGGGAGTTCATACCCTGGGACCTGCAGCACAAACGCGATGCCACTGTTGTGGGCTAGAAACGCCCACGCACCGAGTGAGGCTGCTTTCCTGCCTGTGTGGTTGAGGCTCCTCACAGGCCTCCTGGCCCAAAGAGGAGGGTGAATGCAGACCAGGTCCAGGGCTGAATCCGTCTAGCTGACGGCAGCATCGGTGGGCAGTGTACGCTCCCCAGGGAGTGTGGCAGACCTGGGTCACCTCCTGGGGCTCTGGCCACCAGACCACCCTCCTCACAGTGCAAACAGGCAGCTGGAGGCAGCGCTGAGCGTGGGGAGCTTCTGCTCCGTGGTCCCCATTGGTGCTGCTGGATGGAGCAGGTCGAAGGGATAGGGAACAAAACCAGTGCCCAGACAGGCATCCATCTCCAGGCTCGGCTCAGCAGTCATTTGTTGCCTCCTTGTCCCATCCCAGTGATTTAAGCAGACGTCTTGCTGGGTTGCGCTTCTCTGCTCAGGTCCCTGCAGTGATGGGTTTGTGAATGCTTGGTATGAGTACATGTGTGCGCATGTACGTATGTGCATGTGCAAGTCCCATGCATTGATGCATGTGTGCTGCATGCTCCCCTCTGCTCTAGAAACTCAGGCTCTCAGTGATGGAGGTCCTGGTTGCGCTGACGTGCTGACTGAGGGCTGCAGCTGTGCGTGCGCAGAAGTCGACTGTTTCAAACAGCACCTTATCACACTTCAGGCTTCACACAGAGCCATGCAGTGAAGACAGATGGACGACATTTAAATCAGCTGGTCCGGACGATCTCCACCCCGAGTGCTGAGGGAATTAGCAGAGGTCATTGTGGGACCCCTGGCACGGCTGTACGAGCACTCGTGGTGCTCTGGTGTGGGGCCAGAGAACTGGAAGAGGGCCAGCGTGGTTCCCATCTTCAAAAAGGGGAGGAAGGAGGACCCAGGAAATGATAGGCCAGTTAGTCTTACCTTGATCCTGGGCAAGCTTTTTGAGAGAGTTATCCTGGCGCCTATCCATGAGGGGCCGGGGGGGAGATTATGCTCAGGGGCAACCAACATGGGTTCATCAGCGGCAGGTCCTGTCAGACCAACCTGGTGGCCTTCTACGACCAGGTCACCAAATCCTTAGACGCAGGGGTAGCAGTGGACATCGTCTTCCTGGACTTGCGGAAGGCCTTTGACACTGTCTCTCACCCCGTTCTCATTAAGAAACTGGGGGCTGTGGTGTTGACACCCACAGTCAGATGTGTCGCCAACTGGCTGGAGGGCCGCACTGAGAAAGCGGTGGTGGACGGGTCATGTTTGACCTGGAGGGATGTGGGCAGTGGGGTCCCCCAGGGCTCGGTCCTCGGGCCCGCACTGTTCAACATCTTCATCAGCGACTTGGACGAGGGGGTAAAAAGCACCTGTTCAAATTTGCTGATGACACTAAGATGTGGGGGGATGTGGGCATGCTAGAAGGGAGGAATAGGCTGCAATCGGCCCTAGGCAGGTTACAAGGGTGGGCGGATGAGAACAGGATGGGATTCAACACCGACAAGTGCAAGGTGCTGTACCTGGGGAGGAACAACCAGCACCATACCTACAGGCTGGGGAACTCCCTTCCTATCAGTGCAGAGGCAGAAAAGGATCTTGGAGTCATTATTGATGCCAAGATGAATGTGGGCTGGCAGCAGCGCGTGATGGCTCTGTCTGCACCTGGGAGGAGGCTGTAAGTAGTGTGTGCAGTCGCAAGGGCGATACAGGAGTTACCAGGTACCATCAACTGCACATGGAAACGAGCTGCTAAAGATAAAAAAGGAATTAAAAAGGCTGGTTGCAGTACAAGGAAAGACTGTCTACTTTCGGCCTCTCCAGAGCTGGCCGGCAAGAGCAGCGCTGGGACTCAGTGACGGGGTGAACCCCCTCACCTGCGGGTCTCCTAACTTCTTCTGTACACTGACACTCAGCAGCGTGCGTCCAGACTGGACCCTTCAGTGCAGCCCTGGCGAGATGGAGGCAGGGGGTCACTAGGCGCTTGCATGTGCTAACTGGATGTGCTAGGTTGTGGAAACCTGGCTCCCTGCTTTAACTCGTTAGCACACTGTCGCTGGGGACCAGCTGGGTGCAGAGACCGTGGCAGCTCCCTGGGCCCCACGCTGCACATCTCTGCTAGATCTTTTGAAATCTGCCCTTCATGTTTCTGATAGTACCTGAGCGGGAGGGGTTGGTGTGGGTTTGATCAGGGTCCCTTGGGCTACTTCCCTGGAACTAAACAGGCCTTGGCAATTTACACTGATCATTTCATGATAGAAGGGGCAATATCGGCAAAGGGATCCATTCGGGAGAACTGGGCAGACGGACTGATAATAGTGCCATCCAGGGCTGTAACAGGAGTAGCAGAAGGGGGGCATGTTCAGAGGAGCAGAGCCAGATGCAAACACAGCAGATGTGACCTGTGAGCTGCGGTCTGGTGCTAAATGCAGCTATGGCAGGAGTTGGCACCTTGCTTCAGTCTGGTTAATAAATACAAATGCAACGAGAAAGAGAACGTGTGCACAACGGGCCTGAAGCACTGCAGCTATAAATGGAACCAGAGCTCATCAGGCACTTACTTCTATGTGCAGCTTTTGCACCAGCTAAGAAAACATTAACTAAAACACAGAATAATAAGTGCCAGGCAGGTGGAAGACGCTTGAGCAAACAAGCCTTTTGTTTGTACCCCATGCGTGGGCCGCCCTCCTCTGGAAATTGGTCATCTTCCTGGTAGTTTGTCATGATTCCTAATCCAGCTGGATGCATCAGAGGCCTTTTGAGAGCTGTTTATATAGCTGAGATTTAGCTAGACCCCTTTCCCAATTTCTCAGCAATGTGGTTGCAAAGGAACTAGCTTCATCAGCAGCTCAGTGCAAGCAGAGAAGCCAGGTTCGTGTGGATCAGGCCGACACATGACAGCTGGTGGTACCTGGAGATCCCACAGTGCTTCTTGGAAACAGATGTGAGCTGGCCCTCTGTCCTGACCAAAATTCAGCTGGGGAAGTTTGGGCTATTCAGGCTTCACCTGCCTGCTCCTCTGCTGTGGATTCATCATTTTGTTAGGGAGTTTATGGATGCTGTAGACAGCACTGCTTCTGCATGTGGAAAAGGGGCTTCACTGTCAGGTGTGGGGAACTGAATGATGAGAATTAATTTGTGTGCTCACAGTTATGTGTGTGCATTGATCACATTGGGATATTTTTGATCATGCTTGATTATTAGCAGGGAGGCATTTTTCTGCTTTGAGTAGCTTTTGTAGCCCAGCTGAGAGAGTTGCTAGAGCCTTTCCGCTCTAGTTCTGTCAGCTCTTCTGGCCTTTCTGTGTTTGTCAGGATGAATGCTTTTAAAAATACATAACTGATCATCATTTTAGGATGGGTCAGTTCAGCAAAGCAGGACACAGCGAAGTGTCGCTGCACTCCTGCAGCAGCTCTGCGCGTGGCCCCACTGGTAAACTGAACGTTCGAGGCAGCCCACGCGGGCTTGAGACTGACCGTGCACGGGTGCCGCTTCACACGTGCTGTGCGGCATGGCAGACAGACAAAGCCACTGACTGCAGCTGCTGCAGCACCTCCCTTTGGGTCTCTGCACCATGGCAGAGCAGCGTGAGTGCCGTCTTGACAGCTCGCTGGGGCAGCAACAGCCATGGGGGAGCCCACAGGGGTTGCAAGGGCCCCTGTGTGGACTGGGAAAGGGCCCTGTGCATATGGGGGGTGGGAGAGGGCCAAGCTCCTGGCCCTGGCAGGTGCCGGCACCGTGTGGAGCCCTGCAGGGCGGAGGGGAGCAGCAGGGCAGGGACCCTCTCTTTGCCGTGCACAGGTCCTGTAGATCCCGGCTGGCTCTGGGGAGCAGGGCAGAGGAAGCTGGCAGTCCTGGCCCCAGCCCCGACGCCTCCCCCAGAGCTGAAGGAGGCAGGCTGCCCAAACTCCTCCCTGGCACAGGGGTCAGGGACCTCGAGGGACTCTTCGGGCTGTTCTCTGCAGATCTGGGAAGGATGACTACTGCGGGCCCCTTGGACCCATCCTCTCCCCCCTTGCAGCCTGGCTCCTGCCTCCCCGGGTGGTCAGGAGGGATTTATGGGCAGGCCGCGGAGGGTGGCATGTCTGTCACGTCCAGGCTGCATGGAGGGGCAGCTCAGCATGGGACATGCCTCTGCCTTCTCCCGCAGCACCATCAACGGGGGCAGGCACATCTGCCTGGGAGAGGATGGTGCATCTTCGCAGCCTGGCATCCCACCACCTTAGCCTCTGTGATCCCAGATGTAACCCTGTGCCAGCCGGCCCAGGGAGGGGAACGCAGACCCCCATGGAGACAGGAGGTTTCAAACGCAGGGGATGCGCAAACTGTGAGAGACGCTGAGACACAGGGAAGCCGTTTAGTGTTGACACCGACAGAGGAAGTGGCTGTGGCAGGCGGCGCCG